TTGTGCATGCGCATGTGGCACACGCACTCAGTACGCCGCACCCATAAAAACAAGGGTCAAAAGAAGAAGGGAAAAAAAAAAAAAAAAAAAAAAAAGAACAGGGGCCGGTAGTAGGCCTGGTCCACCACCTGCGTAAAAAAATAAGAAAGCCTCAGATTTTTTTTTTTTTTTTGCCCTGACCCGAAAGCAACATTCCCACTGGTGTAAAAATGGCCAATTCTGTCCTTGGACGTACAGATACCATGATTCAGTTCAGATACAGACATGCTGAGGGTTGGTGCTGCTCTTGAAAAGTGCTTCACATGAATGCGGACAATGGCTCCTTGTGTACTTCGATGTACACAAGTGGCGATTCTGGCCAGATACAGAAATGAAGAGGCTGTGTGCTGCTCAATAAAACTGCCCTTCACGTTAACTACGATGAGGGCTCCGTGTTCGGAAGATAGCAGATAAATAGCAGTGACATAGGAGTCGCAAGAAGAAAGCCCGGGACAGAGCCGAGGTGCATCCTTCCTCGAGAGGAAGTAACCAATGCCTTTGTTCAGGTTGTCTTCGCCGTAACTGGGAGAGGCGTGAGTGAGCTTAATCAGCCTTAACGTCTGCAAGGGGCGCTGGGACCCCATTTCCGGTTGTTTACAAAGCCGGGACATTTTGGAGAAGAAAATGAATGATAATCTATTAATTCATAATTGTTAATTACATCACAGGAGAGAAGGGATTCAAACCCCCAACAAAATAACCTATGGTTTGGGAGACCATCGTTCTAAAGAAAAATGAAGGGCCCTCCAAAGGCCTGAATGTATGCAATTGACAATTCAGGTCCGATATAGACATGCTGAGGGTTCATGCTGCTGGTGAAAAGGGTGCGCTTCCCGTAGGTGTCAAGAAGGGCTGCTCCTTGTGTATTCGAATTTTGAATGCATGCAAGTGACTGCTCCTTGTGTATTCGAATTTTGCATGCATGCAAGTGACTCTTCTTGCCAGATACAGAAATGACAAGGGTGCGTGCTGCTCAAGAAAACTGCCCTTCCTGTGAACTACGGTGCGGGCTCTACGTTTCTACGACACACACGCATTGTCGTGAATGTATAGAAGTGAAGATTCAAGTCAGATACAGCCATAATGAGGGTTCGTGCTGCTCTCGAAACTGTGCTTCCCCTGACCCTTGGTAACCGCTCCTTCTGTCTTTGTATGTATACAACTGACGATGCAGGTCCGATACATTCATGGCATTTTTCATGCTAGGGTTCGAGCTGCTCATGAAAATGTGTTTCCCATGAGCTCGATAAGGGCTCCTTGTCTCCTCCGAATTATACAAGTAGATTCTCGCAAGAGACAGAAACGACAAGCGTGCGTGCTGCTCAAGGAAGCTGCGCTTCCGTGAACTCTCACACCCCACATACACCCTCGATCTCCCTACCCACCCAAAAAAGAAGTATGTGCGCACCGGGACGCTAAGCGGCCTGAGGAACTGTTAGGAATACTACCCCAAAGGACGGGCTGGTCCTCTGTCTTGTCTGCTCTCCCCCCCTCCTCTTTTCACATGTAAACACATGCTTGCCGGTGATGAGCAACCGGACTGAGCCCCCCAGCATGGAAAGGGCACTTTGTTTTGAAAAAAAAAAAGTTGTGCACTGCGCACATGTACGTGGTGCACGCGCTGGGCGCCGATGCGCGTGCATTGTAGACGGTCACACTGCAAGTCACACCTGTGAGGTGGGCCGCAAGTATGGTACACACACACATGTAAGTGTTCACAAACAGATAAAGAGTTGAAATCTGGTCGAACCAAAATAGACGGTATGCCCCGAGCTATACACGCTCTTTTCTCCTCTCGTTCGTCAATTGAATTAACTAAGACAAATCACTCGACCAATGAAGAATACCATGCGCCCGACCCATCAAATCACGAAAGAGCTCCAAATCTGTCAATACCTTGCTCTGTCTGGACCTGATGGAGTTCAAAATGAAGAAAAGGATCAAACCTATGTCACATAATCAAGACAAATCTCTATGAAAAAACGAAAAAAAAAAAAAAGACAATTCTCTATGTCACATAATCAAGACAATTCTCTATGAAAAACAGAAAAAAAAAAACAATTTCTATATGGGTCTTTCCTGTCTTACCTGCTGAAACAAACAGCCCACCAGATGGAAAGAAAGCAACGTCCTCGAGAGGACGCCCATGCTGCACACAAACAAGCACCGACCAATTTAGTTTTGCTGCCTTGCGAGAGTGCCAACTCCCCCTTCAGAGAAGGATCTTTTCTTTTCTTTTCTTTTCTTTTCTTTTCTTTTCTCCTCTTTTCTTTTCTATTCTTTTCTTTTCTTTTCTTTTCTCCGAAAAAACTCTTCAGAGAAGGATCTACCTCACTAAAAACACCAACATACTCCAGGAACATCACACTTACCGCCGCCAGCTCTTCCAGAACGTAAAAGATAACCCCGCACCCCCCCCAAAAAAAGAAAAACGGATAGTAAAAAATTAAAAATGAATCAAAATTGGAAGTCCAAACTGCAAATATACGATTACTCAACCACAGAGACCCAATCACGCGCAGTAGTCGGAGCCACGGCAGACCTGTCAGAGGACGAAGTTACGAGCTGTACTGCATTCTTGTATACCACCACAGAGTCTCGGGACCACCACAGAGTCTGTGGACCACCACAGAGTCTCTGGACACCGTCCGACGCAGTAGTAATTTACTGTCAGACTGCATACATACGAAGTCCCCGGACATCCACGGCTTCCAGAAAGCCAGCCTCCATGCAATCTCTAGTATGTATATAATTTTCCCTCTATTTTCAAGCAACAACCTTTCTCCATTATCTCCACATTTCTCAATTTTCTCCGCATTTCTCAATTTTCTCCACATTTCTCAGTGACCCCTCTTTCGTTTAGATCTTCACTTGCTTATGCTATCTGCTGGCTTGTGTCCTTCACACATTCATTAGTCAAGCCGTGTGCGATCCATGTCAGTTCGACAAATGCCCCATGTTTTGCTCTGCGCAATCTTTCCACTGGCCTTGCTTCTTGAGTTGCAAAATCCTTGTGAAGGGGGGATGTACTTGGTCCTCAACTTAAGTCTTCTGTGCATGGATGATCTTTGCATCCGGTTGTTCATTCTCTTCCCATCATCTTTCAAGAACGCAAGCGTTCTGCAATTGTACAATCATCAGCTCCTCATTGAGCTTTTTTTCTAGGTTGGGCAGTCGCCCGGCCAGCTGGGTCGGGGGGGATCGCCGTGCGATCGCCGGGCAAAACCAGACAGGTCAAAAAAGAGGGGAGGATCTTCAAAAAAAAGAAACTGACTTCAGGCAAGGACTGCGCTCCACCTGAGCAGTCCGAATCTGGCCTCACCTTCCATTTCGGTGGTGGGTCACCCAGGAGTGTTTGGGGGGTATAAAGTTACTCTAGAGTCTAAACAGTGACTAGAGGGGTTTAAAAGGGTATATCTTACCTCATTTCTCCTCATTTATTTATATCTTTTAATTAATAGGGAATTTCGAGGGGACCCTCCGCCAAAAGTTGCTTGTACTGCAATTTATAACAACATGTTTTTTTCCAGATTTTTTTGGTTTTTTTGAATTTTTTATTTCTTTAATATTATGCGCTGGGGCTGCCCGGGACCCTGCCTGGCCACTGCGTGACCCGAGCCGCCCGGGAGGGTACACAGGCGACCTTCCCCCAGCCGGGCCGCCTGGGGACCAACCTTGCTTTTTTTTTTTTTTTTTTTTTTTTTTTGAGCTAATTCGCAACGCCTCTATTTTCTCAATGCCAATATGGTCTGTATCCTCACCACATTCCAGTCCTCCAACTCCAGCCGGGAACCCCCCCCTGGCGACTTTGGGATTCCCAAGCACCTAATGAATGGCTGGATCTCAGAAGCAAAGGAGAGCCAGCGCACAGAGGACTCCCCACCTTGTAGAGCCTGTGATCGGCACTAATTTGAGGGTCCCTACCTCGTAGGACGATGAGGGGGATAAATCTGCTACCGTCTTCACCTAAATAGAACGCCCGGTCATTATAGCTGTATTTGGGGCAACTTCCAGTACGGATACAGCGATAATTACCGGGCGTTCTATTCGGGTGAAGACGGTAGGGCTGCGCGGCAACCGGGGTTCAGCTACAGGTTGAAAAAAAATCAAAAAACAGATAGATTCTTCTCTGACACGTTGCTTTGAGGAATGTCAGCATTCAGGGTAAGAGTGCTACAGGTTGAAAGAACAGACAGATTCGTCTCTGACATGTTGATTTGAGGAATGTCGGCATGCAGCGTAAGACAGCACAGTATGAGAAAGACCTGTCTAATCGGTGTGCGCGGAAGACCTGTCTATCAAAAAAAAAAAAAAAGAAAAGGAAGACCTGTCTGATCAGCACAGTAATGGGGAACCTTTTCTTATCCGTACAGCTAAAGATAGACGAGGACGGATCTCGTCACACAATTGACGGAAAATGCTCGACTTGCTCAGATGAACAAGATTGCGGATCATATGGAAGGCCTGATGGCATAAGACACTGGGAAACAAGATTGTCTTGCTGCCAGATATGCAGACGGAATTCCAACATGTGGTGGATGGAGACGGAAATTGGAGCAGAATGTCATCCAGGACATGCGTTGAAATTGGAACAATACACAGAAGATTAGCATGGCCCCTGCACAAGGATGACACTCTTTTGTTTTTTCTTGAAAGAAAAAGAAAAAAAAGAATGCAAGCTATTGAGAGAAGAAAACAAGGATGACATCCGTTAATATTGGAACGATACAGAGAAGATTAGCATGGCCCCTGCGCAAGGATGACACACATAAATCGAGAAAAAAAAAAAAAAAAAAAAAAAAAAAAAAACAAGGATGACACTCGTAAATCGAGAAATGGTCCACTTTCTTTTTTTGTTATTGTTTTTTAAGATAAGAGTAGAACGGAGGATAGTGCTGAAAAGATTCGAGGCAAACGTGCAGATGAATCAGTGTGAGTTCTCTCATGCAACAGAGTTTTGAAAACCATATGGCTCTGCCAGAAGGGGCAAAATTTAAACAGCAGAAATGAAAGGCAAACAAACACTTCCTCTTGCCGCCAATTGGAGGCTAGAGGTTTCTGAAATTGCTTGAGGTGGACAGTATCTGGACTGGAATGTGGCGAGGATACAGACCATATAGCATTGAGAAAATAGAGGCGTTGAGAATTAGCTCAATTAGGAGCTGATGATTGTCCTCCTCAACTAGCTCACTTCTGTCAAAATTGTACTCGAGAGTTTCGTCTTAACAAAACTCATTCCGGTTAATTGAACTTAATTGAACTTAATTGAACTTAATTGAACTTAACTGAACTTTTTTTTTTTTTTTTGGTTAAAATTTGGACCATTTCTCGATCTATGCGTGTCATCCTTGGAAGCGCAGGGGCCATGCTAATCTTCTCTGTATCGTTCCAATTTTAACTTAATTGAACTTGATTGAAGTTAATTCACCATTTTTCTTTTTCACCATTTTTTACATCTTTTCGTTCACCATTTTTTATATATCTTTGTGCCTATTATGTGTGGGATACTTTTCGAAAACAGAGCTCAGCAGGGAAATAATGTCAAGTGGGTCAAGGCAGAATCGTTTTGTAGGTTTAGGGTTTAGAACACAGGAAATGTCTGGAATCATAATCCGCAGATCGGGGTTTCGAATCCCTCTTCTGTCAGTTGTCTAGCTATCTAATTTATAGTTTCCATATCAAGATGATAGCAGAGGCTGAAGGTGGGACTGATTCTGCATGAGCCTACCTTCTTCCCTCGAATACAACACACGGTCATTATAGCTGTATTTAGGCTGAAAGATGCCCCAAATACAGCTATAATGACCGTGCATTGTATTCGGGGGAAGAAGGTAGCTGCTATAGTAACTTTTGGCAGGTTGCTCTGGCAACTTGAGACGAAAAGGTAGGCTTAAACCACAAGCGCGCCGCCCAGGCAAACTTTTGAGGCCAAAAAAATGAGTCATTCGTAAAAGTCAGGGGACTCGCCCCAGGGCGGGCCTGGGGACGGGCGGACATTTCTTTTGGTCCCGTGCGGTGCCAGTGCCAACCCTGACGCGTGGGACAAAGAAAACAAAATCTGTGTCCGCCCGCCCCTGGGCCCGCCCTGGGGCGAGTCCTCTAACTTTTAGGAATGACTCATTTTTTGGCCTCGAAAGTTTGCCTGGGCGGCGCGCTTGTGGTTTGAACTACCAGTACACCCGGGCCTGGAGGCGCTCCACTGCGCGCAAACGCCAAGCCTTGCCGAACCCGCCAGCAGCACACTCTTTCTTTCTTTTTCGGCTGGCGCCGCCCGCCATTGTGGTTTGGTAGACCCGAGGCGCAAAAAGTTTGGAGTCGGCACCTCGCGATTTTCTGCAAGGCTGGAGCCGTGTACTGCCAGTTTGACGAAGGGGTTCAATTCCCAAAGGGTTTCAATTCCTTTCACGGAACACGCATAGACTGCGTTGGAAACACGGGCTGAGAGCGCAACATCATTCTGAAAGATGGAAGTAATCAAAGACGTTGGCTTGGGGTCCCTTGGCCATAACAAAGGGAAGCATATGGTGCGTATTCTATGTAAGGGACAGTGGAACCAGTTCCCCCGCTTGTTAATGAAATTACTCTCAGGAAGAAAAAGAAAAAAAAAAACTATGGTATGCAGTGACAATGTGGAGTGCACATGCTGAACTCGAAGCCAATCTCAAAAGAAGCGCAGCCGTGCACTTGTGGACGGGAGGCCCTTCCAAAGAATCCAATTACAGCATTTCATCACAAAAGTGGCATGGAAATATGTTACACTTAAACCGCCAGTACAAGGCCCCGGGCAACTTGAGAAAACAAGAGGCTCTCTTCGAAAATGTTGCAAGGCTCAAGGCGACCGGACCAGCAAAAAGAAAATATATTCCTAGCCCGTGCCAGTTCGCTTTTGTTTGGCACGGAGCAGGCATCCAGGTCGGTAAAACGCAGCTCGAGGGGACTTCTGGTCTGGTTTACGAGAGAAAGGTGAATTGTTTTTTTTATATATTTTCTTCTTTTCCAAGTTAAAGAATGCAAACCATGGAGCCCACTCCCTTTCAATTTAAGTTGTTCCATCATAAAGCACTCTGCTCTGTTTCATCAAAAGTAGCCGGTTTCATCATAAGCATTCTGTCTTATAAAAGTGCTCTGTTCCATCGTAAGTGTTTTTTTAACTTTTTTTTTTTTTTTCCCCGTCTCTATCAAGAGCTCTTTCCGACGAAGTTTGCATCAAGCTCTCTCACTCACACTGGAAACAGCAGAGTTGCTTGGACATCAATTCAAAGTGTATTCATTGTGATCACCAGACCTTGCAGTGGCTGACGGCTCAGGCTGAGCTCTCCAGCAAGCTTGCAGGCTGGAATCCATATTCATTGATACCTTTGACTTCCGGTTCAAGCACTAGACGGACGAGTTGCTTCTTCGGTAATAAATCCCCCCACTGAAGTTTCAAACTGGTCAGAGTCAACTGCATAAAGGAACAAAATGTGTAACCAATAGGGTATAACACGGACAAGCATCAACTTCCACGCTTTCCCAAAACAAAACACGCAAAGCCACATGTTGATGAAATTCACAGAGAACTACAAGAGCTGGAAGAGAAGAGGACCTGGATGAATCCTAAGAGAGGCACGAACAATCACCTGAAGCTGCATCACACACTTGCCAGTTCTGATATCCCATAACCGGACGGTGTGATCGTATGAGCCAGTTGCCCTGCAAAATCAAAGAGTGAGAGACAGAAATATAAAGGGTTAGCAAAATGGAGAGAGAGACATCCGCAGAGAGAGGTAGTGTCAGTTGGGAGCAAAGAAGATACAGAAAGGTTTAGAACAACGACAATGACAAGAGGAGGACATGAAGGCGAGGATGTGCAGGTTACCAACCTGAATGACACAACCTCAGCGGCCAGATCGGCCCAGATGCACTTGAGAGCAATGGGTAGGAGGGAGAGTGGGCAGGTAGGCAGAAAAATGGACAAGCATGCATACAAAGGGAGGGATGAAGACAGACCTTACTTACAAGGAGACTAGGAAGATGGTGATAAGGATGATGGAAGCAATGTGTGTGTGTGTGTGTGTGTGTGTGTGTGTGTGTGTGTGTGTGTGTGTGTGTGTGTGTGTGTGTGTGTGAGAGAGAGAGAGAGAGAGAGTAGCTCAGAGGGAGACGCAGAGCAAGACAGAAGAAGAGGCACAATATACACATGAAGCAGTACAGGGAGAGGAGCACATGGGTTAATCCCCCGTACACAGCGTAGTTATTTAGAACAAAGCCCCCCTATTGCTGGTGGTGGAAACATTACACCATCACCTTTAAACAACCAAAAATAGGGCGTACTTGCCAGCCCAAACAGGAGAGCTCTAAGTTGGACCCTAAACACAAGATTGGATTGAGCTCAATACCCAGACTCCATATGCTTCAGAATTGCACAACCATTGGGCCCAACGAAGAAAGGGTGACCAAGCAGACAATGGTAGGAAGAAGAAGCCGGGGGGGGGGGGGGGGGGGGGGGGGGGGGGGAGAGGAGGTCATGAAAAAATGTCACTCATGGAAACTCGTTCGCTCAGAAGATTGTAGCTGTAACATTCATGCTTGACACGTTCCCACTGATGTAGCCTCGATTCAGACGATACCGTTTGAAGAGATCTAAGCCGGGTAAGCCCAGAGATAACCGACAAATGCATTGCGTACACCATTGAAGGGGGAGAGTAGGTCCATAAGAGAGCCCATAAAGGAAAGACAACAGATGTTTAGAAACGTAAAAGAGACAGTTCGGAAATGTTTCAACATGGAGTCAGTACGAGGACACGTAGAGACCCAGATAGTTGTGATTGGGACTGAGGTGTGTGGGTTGGCTACCTTCTTCACCCCAGCATATATTCCATGCCCATGCACAAACAGGTGCTGAACATGTTCATACACACACCTGAAACCCCAACATTTTGATGTCAAGCTGCTGAAGGTAGGTAGGCAGGCAGGCAGATATACTCCCCTCAGAACCACCATCAAGTTCTGAAGTCAACAATACAGAGAGTGGATAATATCTGGTGTTCATAGATCTGTGGATGTACACAGATCTGTAGACATATGACAGTAAAATGAACAACACACAGAGGGTGGACAGTATATGATGATGTTCACAGGTTTGCGGACGTACATACGTATGTGGAGACGATTGACTGGGGACGGGCCATATTGACTACCCTCCTCCCCCGAAAAGAACGCACGGTCATTATATATGCATTGGACTGAAAGTTGTACCAAATACAGCGATAATGAACCTGTGTTCTATTCAGGAGAAAAGGGTAGTCAACAGAACCCGTCGTGTACCCCAGGGGCACAGCACAGTGTAGTGCTGGCACCAGTGGGACCGGTGCCCGGCAAGAGGAGGCAGAGGCTATACGGGTAAGGCTAGCTTAGGCAGGGGTGAGGGGTGGTACATCCTTCCCTAAGGTAAGAAATTGATGCCGTCCACTCTGGCCTCCCAACCACAATGGGGAGGAGCATTCACTGAGTACAAAAATAATAAAATATGTATCTTTCGGACTTGTAGCCGGAGTAGGAACCAGACTGACGCTCCCCAGAATGGATACGGGGCCAGGGACGTAAGGTTCTGTTTTATGGAAAAGGAAAAAAGAAGAGGACTATCTTCTTCCCCCCGAATACACATACGGTCATTATAGCCGTATTTAGACTGAAAAATAGCCCCAAATACAGCTATAATGACCTTACGTTTAGAGAACTTTAGACTTAACAATACCCCAAATACAGCGATAATGACCGTACATTGTATTCGGGGGAAGAAGGTGGAGCTCTGGGTAGGGTTTGCCTCACAGGTACTTTGGAGGGAACAAACGCTGCTGACACGTACCATACATCCCGGGATGCACCACCTGTCGCGCCACATCTGACATAATCGGTATGTCCCCCAAGCCTCAAAAGAGATTCCTGTGACAAATAAGGAGAGTTTTATTTGCCTCTTGATATCAGGGCATTCATTCAAATAAATCCATCATGATGCTGTTTGACTATACCAAAACATAGACCAAAAACCAGAAGCAAGATGAAACAAACCAGAAACCAGTTGAGGCAACCTCGAAAGAGCACAACAACTCTTTCAGTGTGATTGTCCTTCTCGTGAACCACAGCAGCATGTTGGTGAAAAGTGCAGAAATGGCTCGAGCTATGACATCTGCAGTGAGGTTCGTCGGTCCCAAACATCAATAAGGGCACGTAGAGGGTTTGCACAGGAGAAAGCATCCAGAATGTCTGCACGCCACAGGTCCAAGATGTGGGACACCTCAGGATCCCAAGCTCAACCCTATCCATATCCTCGTGTTACCATCATCATTACAATGAAGTGCGCCTGCAAGTATGCTCAGAACCCTGCAGCAGTGCCCAGCAAGTCATGCCCAACTCATAACCACTCAATATATAAGATTTCAAAACCAATTCACTCATGGAAATCAATAACGCCTACAACACATGGAAAACACCTGCGGCACATAAGACGGACACGCACACAGTGAGTGGTGTGCAACAAAGAAAGAGACAGAGAGAGACAGACAGACACAGAGACACAGAGACACAGAGACAGAGACACAGAGACACAGAGACACAGAGACACAGAGACACAGAGACACAGAGACACAGAGAGAGACAGAGAGAGACAGAGAGAGACAGAGAGAGACAGAGAGAGACAGAGAGAGACAGCCAGAGAGGCAGAGAGGCAGAGAGGCAGAGAGGCAGAGAGAGACAGAGAGAGACACAGAGACACAGAGACACAGAGACACAGAGACAGATAGACACAGAGACAGACAGACAGACAGACAGACAGAGAGACAGGGAGAGAGAGAGACAGACAGACAGAGAGAGACAGAGAGAGACAGAGAGAGACAGAGAGAGACAGAGAGACAGAGAGAGACAGAGAGAGACAGAGAGAGACAGAGAGAGACAGGGAGACAGAGAGGCAGAGACGGAGAGACGGAGAGACGGTCTGTCTGACCGACAGACAGAGGGGCAGGGGGACAGAGGGACAGAGAGACAGAGAGACAGAGACAGAATGACAGAGCGACAGAAACAGCAAGCAAGAGGGAGGGAAACTGAGACCAAAAGTACTGCAGAGTTAGGTCTCCAGGAAGAAGGCAAGGTAGCTCAGGCTACCAACAAGGAGAGGCAAAGACAATAGCCAAATATGCAAGAAAAGATTACTTCGACCAGTTTCGTCAGAGCCTATAAGTAGGAACATAACGATAAAGCGAACTAGGAGAATACCGCCGGAGGCTGAAGTAGGGTGTGCACCCTGTGCAAGAGAGGCTGGATGAGAATGGGGTTGGGTTGCTTTTTTTTTTTTTTTTTTAATTTGGACCATTTCTCGATTTATGCGTGTCATCCTTGCGCAGGGGCCATGCTAATCTTCTCTGTATCGTTCCAATTTTAACGGATGGGTGCCCAGAAGATAACGGTAAACAAATGCACATCTGATTCTTATGGCTGTACACTGCACAGTCTGACAAGAGCAAACAAGCTCGAGAGGAGGGAAGAAACCAAGCATGCACCTACCCTCCAGCAGAACAACACACACATGCAGCTGTGACTAAAGAGATCAAACCTTGTAAGATATCATTTACAAGAATGATAAAATGATCATAGTAACACATCTATTTTTTAAATACCTAAATAAAACAAAACAGAACAAAACAAAGAGGAGAAACCACCAGCAAGCAGAATGGCTACACCAGAGTCAATGGAACAAGGTTATCTCTGCATGACACTACCATGATAATTTGTCCTTGAAATAAAAAATTGAGAGTTGTGCCCCCACATTACCCTTCCTCCGGAATGTAGCAAGACGAAGGTAGAGAAACCTGAGGGGCATCCCCAAAATTTGGAATCATTGCTGATGAAATGGATCAATTCAACTATTCACGATACATGAATGCATGAGACAGACAGACAGACAGACAGACAGACAGACAGACAGAGAGAGGAGGAGACTGACAGACAGAGACAGAGACAGAGACAGAGACAGAGACAGAGACAGAGACAGACAGAGACACAGACAGAGACACAGACAGAGACAGAGACAGAGACAGAGACAGAGACAGAGACAGAGACAGAGACAGAGACAGAGACAGAGACAGAGAAAGAGACAGAGACAGCGAGAGCGAGAGCGAGAGCAAACAAGAGGGCAGGGAGTACATAAGGAAGAAAGCGAGAAAGAAGGGAGTGCTTCTCTCAGTCAGACTGGGAAGGAGGAGAGTTATTTCTCATGTAAATTTAATGCTTGGCTGGTGGGAAAGGAACCGGATCACCGTGTCCTAAAAAAGGATCCATACTCCTAAGGCTGTGTTTAGCAGCAAAAGGGTACAGAAATTTCAGGAAAGAAAATTAAAAAAAACGAGGAAGAAAGGGAGAGAAAGCTGGAGTACTACATCCCTGTAAAACAAATCCTCTTTTTCGTTCGTTCAAGACCAAAGGGCAAAACACACAACAGCAAAGGCGAGGAAATCACCTCCGATGACGCATCCCACCACCTTGCTGTGTTGTCATCTCCAGCTGAAAATATATGCACTTTGTCTTCCGCATAGCGCGAAAAGTGGACTGCCCTGTGCACAACAACAGTCCATCATGTCCGTCACTCCTTGTCATTCCTGTCCCAGAATCAATGTGACATGGAAGTGCCGCCATCAGAGAATGGATGGATGAGAGGGAGAGTGAAGGTTCTATGGCCCACCGTCCCGGATGTGCAGAGGCCCAGGAAGCTGCAGTTCAGATCTGCTGAAAACTGTTCTCGACTTCAGAATGAACTACAATCCCCCTACCGTCTTCACCCAAATAGATCGCCCGGTCATTATAGCCATATTTTTGGTGCAGCTTGCAGTCCAGGTACAGCGATAATGACCGGGCGTTCTATTCGGGTGAAGACGGTAGGCAACACCCACCACACGCAACCGGCTGCATAAATCACCAGTATTCTCAGTGCTCCCTCAAAGCCTATTTTTCTGTGAAAAATAAACACATCAGTATTACTGGGTGGGGCAATTTGCTAAGATAATGAACTCAAAAGAGTCCCAAAAAAATGGCAGAAGGCACAAACAAGTTTGAATCGAGATGCAATCAGATGACCGAATAAAATCGTTCTTCTTCTTCTTCTTCTTCTTCTTCTTCTTCTTCTTCTTCTTCTTCTTCGTCTTTTCTGGAGGTCGATGTTGGTGAGTCGGGGTGGATGTGCGGAAGGTGGTGTGGAGGGGGAAAGGTAACCCCTAGCACTATTGTGTTGGCAGCACTGTTCATTTAACTGCCAACATGTTTATCAAGTCTTCTACGTACACATACAATTATGTCACTAGCAAGGTACATTTTCCTTGCACATTGTTCCCGGAAAAAAACAGAATTATATGTACTGCTGATTCTACTGTGGCAACCAACAGCACACTTCGCAATTCACGGACATGCAGCAACCAACACCGCAGTTCGCCATTCAGTGGCATGCGACACGTACATGGATTATGACATAGGAAGAAAAATTATTTCATCAAGGATGAACAAGCTGCTTGACTGCATCCGACTGAACTTTGGCACCTTCCCCAGTTTACTACGCTTATCTACCCTAAGCCCACCAGGACTTGGGCATTGGGCCCTGCGCTGCGCTGGTTAAAACACCCGACGGCGCTCAGGTTCAACCCACCAGAGCAGGAAGGCTTCTGAACCCCAGTGAGCCCTGTCCCCAACGGTATGGTAGTAGTTCACGGGCAGGCTTACTCGAACATTGGGAAAAAGAGGACTAGGTTATACTGGTGATTTAACCTAGAAGCCAGGGTAGCATACCAGCCTTCAACGGACGCCGATGGACGACCGACTGCCAGTCAAACAGTTTGCGCCAATCGGTTGGCAGAGGGCCATCGGCTGAGTACTTCAAAATTCTGACAAAGGGGCCATACTGCGCATGCCATATGCAGCCCAAAATCCACTAGAAATTATTGTTTTGGCCCTTTAGGGGAGCAGGGGGTATTTAAAAACTAAGGAGATCAGCTTCAGACTGGGGATGTCTCTTATGGCTGTCAAAGGTTATTTAGATCAAATACAGATTTCTCAAATTCTAAATATGAACAAGAGTTTTTTGAAAATCAATCGATCCAAGTTTTCTCTCTCCTTACCTCCTGGGTGTTGCTATGAATCCTGTAAACCAAATCCGCATGGAGGGGAAGGACGTACAAAAGGAGGCTGAAGGTAGGTCCATTTCTCCTTGGTGTGAGGTGGTAGGGGATCAAAAGGCGACCCTATCTATTCACCGTTAGATCTCAATTCCATGATTTTTTCCGCTGCTGTGAAGTTAGAAAGTGGGGCAGGGGGGAGGCACTCGAAAACTAATTAAGGAGATCAGCTTCAGACTAGGAGGCCTCTTGTCAATCTGGCTGTGCATGAGGTGGTAGGGGATTACAATTTAAAAGGCAAGACCCTATCCACCATTCAGATCTTGTTTCCATGAATTATTCACTATTGAAATTTGAAAAGTAGCCCACCGTGGTTTCTTGTATATCGGGCTATATCCTTGATTCAAAAACTAATTAAGATGAGTAGCTAGCTTCAGACAGGAGTTGGCTTCTTGTCGATCAAGCTCCATGAGGTGGTAGGGGATATACCCGGTAGAATCTATGCGGACCATTCAGATCTAACTTCTCCGAAGATATGACCGTTGAAAATCCAAAAGTAAAATTTCAAATTTGTGCAATGTCATAGATGGCGAGCCAAAAGCTTTAGTTCCAGAGTGTACTGACGGTCAGCGTTCTGGTACAAGCGCAAAAAAACATGACGACGACAATCACCATAGGCATCCTTACCTCCATTTCAGACCGTGCAACACATGGACTGTCCCACTGCGCGAAATTCTGTAGTCATAAAGCAAGAGTTCATGACAGGAATGCTGCAAAAGCTCTGCAAGCCACCCCCAAGGGAAGAGCCCCAAGGGTGAATTTGATAAGCCACCCCCAAGGGAAGAGCCCCAAGGGTGAATCTGATAAGCCACCCCCAAGGAAAGAGCCCCAAGGGTGAATCTGATGCCCAATGAAGCTACTAACCTATACAGCGTAGGCCAGAAAGACGTAACCTTAGTGTAGTATATGCGTATGGGACTCCTGGGAAAAAAGATGAAACAAGAGGATCCGGCAGTAACAAGCACGGGCAGAGAATGGAGCTCCTAGCCTCCTACACAGTACATGAGCAGCAGGAAGGGGTGTAGAGAGAAATGAGAGAATCCCATACGAGGCAAGCTAGCAGAGAACCAGCTTTCTGACAAATGAGAAAGGCGCCGAGGAAGGATTTTATATATATATATCGTCAAATAGAACTGCCCGGTAAACCGTAGGCAGAGAGGGAGAAGAGGACAACAAACGAGGGGCTGTGACAAACTGTTTCGTCGGAGTTTCACCGACTCAT